TTCCGGTCCACCGAAAGACTCGGGTCTTCACAGATATATATTTCTAGTGTATAAACAGTCGGATGTGATTCACACCGACGAGAAGACTGTGTCCGAGCGTTCAATCGATGGCAGAATGATGTGGAATGTTAGGACATTTGCTAAAGAAAACAAGCTTGGTGAACCAATAGCCGCTAACTTTTATCAAGCACAATATGATGACTATGTGCAAATTTTAATGAAAACATTTGAACAATAATTATGCAAAATTGTATTGTAATTATGCAATATTATTCTAGTTGTCGATCAATTCCAATATAAATAAATAAAGTTACACTTTAAATTACTTTAATGAATTTGTTTAAATTATTTTTTAATTGCAAATTAAACTACTATCATATATATTTTAAAACTACTATTAGATATCAACGATTATTACCCAGTAACACTAATTGTTTAGTTAAGCAGTTATAATATGAAACATTTGAATCTGGAGGTTGAAAATAAAAAATGTGTGTATAAATTACTAAATTAATAATTTATTAAATATATTTTTACGAGTATAATGATACCTAAATAACGTTGACTATAGATAATACTGTACAGTAAACACTGATGATAATTAAAAGTAAGGCATTCATAAGTGGAGGTATTATTTAATAAGTGCTGATATAATATCCTTGAGAAATGAATTTGAAAACCAAATTGTACTCAAAGTTCTAACGCATGCACACAATGTATCCTCCATTTAGGAGTTCACTGTTTGTATTAAATGTTTATATTTTTATTTTAAATTTAATTAAAAATACAGTGATTTTTATCTGAATTTTTAATTTTATGTCAAAACTGAATTTAGGGAACACTCTATATAAATACAGCGCTTGTTTGGCATTCAGACAATTGTAAGTTTTAATTCAAAAAATATTTTTACATAGAGTATTATTCTTATCAGTTCAGTTACAGTACTACTTTTTTCTGATTAAAAATACTTGTGTCTAATTGTGATAAACAAAACTTAACATGTTATATAAATGGGTGTTTATATTCATAGCAATCGCTTTCATTAGTAGTGAGTCTTTGGGTGAGGAAATTAAAGGGCGAGTGAAAAGTCGGGTCAAGAGTTTCATCAGCAGAAGAAGAATGTCTCCCTTAAGACGCGACGGTATTGTTCCCGATGTCATCGATTCGGTGCCGAAGGACACGATAACGGTTTGATTGTCACTTAATTAACAAAAACATAACTAAAACTAATGCAATAATCAATTGAAATGACAGGTGAAGTATCCGTCGGGAGTTGAGGTCAACTATGGCAACGAATTAACGCCCACTCAAGTGAAGGACAAACCTACGGTTGTCTGGCCCGCAGACGGCAACTCTCTGTACGCACTCGTGATGACAGATCCGGACGCCCCGAGTCGTAAGGAGCCCGTCAATGGTCAGGTCAAACACTGGCTTGTGGTCAATATTCCGGGCGCCGATGTGGCCAAAGGTCGACCGCTGGCCGATTATATCGGCTCCGGTCCGCCGCAGGACACGGGTCTTCATCGGTACGTGTTTTTGGTGTACAAACAGACGGCGACTATCGATACGAACGAGAAGAATGTGTCCAATCGTTCCCGTGAAGGACGTCTGAAGTGGAAAGTCAGGGATTTTGCCAAACAATACAATTTGGGTGAACCCATAGCCGCCAACTTCTATCAGGCACAGTATGACGACTGGGTTCCCATATTTAGGCAACAATTCACTGAATAATGAGTTACAAAATTATTTGTATTCAATACATTAACGTTTTTATCCAATATATAATAAAAATATATTATTCAAAGTATGAAAAATGTCATATTTATTTAAATATCAATTTTTGTAATTGTGACAACAAAATTATAAATGTTATACTTTTTATAATAAATTTATATTTCTTCGTATAAATTATTTTGTGTGGATTCAATATTTTTCAAAATATATACTGACTTTTATTTGTTCTGTTTGTTTATTCGAAAGGTGTGTTTAATTGTAAAAGTGTTGTTAAAAACAAGTGAACGACAACTGGTTATACTAAACATATATTAATTCATAAAAATGGCTATTGATAATAACAGTATAAATAATAAGTAAATGTTTAAACTAATCATGTATGTTTTCCTAAAACCAGTTATACAATCCTTGAGTTATAAAACTTTTCCTGTGAGAGACTTTCACAATAAAATATTTGGAACCAAAATAAACACATCGATTCACTCATTATATACTGTGAAACACTAGTGAATATATTCTGCACATACTTTTGTGAACGGACCTAATATGCAAAATGTACTCAAAGTTCTAACGATAAACTAATTGAATACACTGTTTGCCATTGGAGTTAATATTATTTAAATTAATAAAAGTAAATAATTGGCAAAGAGTTTGGTTATACCTGTATATAAAGGGTTGGAATTTGAGAAAATTATATACAAAAAGTACATTTGATACCAGAAAACAGCTTAAATTTGAGCCACAAATGGTTGGTATTTAAACACCATTTGCGCTCAAAATTCATTCAAAATAAATTCATCTCTTTATAAAATTGAGACAATGAATTGTATATCAATTCATAGTGTTTTGATGATAACACTTATGGTTAGTGTTTTTATAAGCGATACTTTTGGTCAAAACCAGACTAAGAGTAAAATCAGGAGAACGGGTGGACGAAGAAGTTCTCCCGTTAGACGCGATGGTATTGTTCCCGATGTTATCGATTCGGTGCCAAAGGGAAAGATTACCGTAAGAATTACTAATTTAATTAGCAATATGTAAATAATTATTGCAAATTAATGAATTGCATCTAACATCAGGTTAAGTATACGTCGGGACTGGAAGTGAAATACGGCAATGAATTAACGCCAACACAAGTGAAGGTCCAGCCGGTGGTCGAGTGGCCGGCGGACAAAGACTCGTACTATACGCTGGCAATGGTTGATCCCGACGCTCCCAGTCGTAAGGATCCCATGTTTGGTCAATACAAACACTGGTTGGTCATTAATATTCCGGGCTCCGACGTGACCAAGGGCAAAACTTTGGCCGAGTATAAAGGCTCGGGACCACCGAAGGATACGGGACTACACCGATATATTTTCCTGGTCTACAAACAGCCGGGTATTGTCAATACAAGTGAAAAGACAGTGGCCAGCGATTCCCTGTCCGGTCGTCCATTCTTTAAAGTGCGGGATTACGCAAAGACCAATCGGTTGAGCCAACCCGTGGCCATCAACTACTTTCAGGCACAGTTTGATGGGTCCCTCGGATAAGTGATTTAGCATAAAATGTGGTGTTTTTACACAATTTTTATTTGTAAAGTATGTTTACTATTAGTTTAGTGAATATAAAATTGTCAATACTTTACAAGTGTTTTACCAACATCACTTAATTTTATTATTAATTAAAGTACAGTATTATTTTTGTTTGACGTTTATTGCGATTAAATGCCAGACAGAAAGATGCTAACCATACAAATGTCTACTCTTTTATTATATAAATCGCTATTTTATTGATATTGATTTCACTTATCGCTCATATAATACAAACATACGATTGTTTTAATTTGAAATTAACTCAAAATTGAATTTATTTGAGTATTTAATTATATAAAATGACATTTTAAAATGATAAAAACCGATTGCAAAATTAATTTGTCTAATGCTGAGATTTGTATTAAAAAACGGTATTTATATAAAAAGTAAATACAGTATTTACAAATTTTATAATTACAAATTGTATTAAAAAAGTAATAAAATAATTCAAATAAATAAAAAATATAATTTTTCAATATTTATTATATATATTTCATAAATTCTGACAAAATGTATAGAAAAATAAAATATAAAAATACAAGAATAAGAATACAATAATTTTTAAGATATTTTTCTCTATTTCTTCTCTTTGGGCGACTTTGTGTCCGGACTCTTAGTCTTCGGGTCTTTACATATAATAAACAAAATAATTAATTGTTTGTAATTTTGATGGCAAACACTAAACACATACCTCTTGGCGATTGTTTCGGAGGACTGGAGACTCTCTGTTGTGCCGCCACTCCCTTAGCACTGGTTTGTGCGGCGTTTGGGATGACTATTGTGACCGGAGGTGGTGTCGATGACTTTACATTGGATGGCAACTGTCTTCCACTTGATTCTTGAGCTATAAATGAATGCATTATTAATTAAGAAAACAATTAAGTGTTTGTAATATTGATTTCAAAACATAAACCTTTTGTCAGAAACGGATTCGTTGGCGAAAGTGCTTTTGGCGATCGTTTCGGATGAGTAACTCTTGGTTGCGGTACCGGTTGTTGAGCACCGGTTTGTGTGATGTGCGGTGTGTTTGGTTGGAGTGACGTTTGCACCGAAGCCAACATATCTCTCACTTTACGTATAATAAACAAAACACTTAATTGTTTGCAATAATTATATCAAACACTAAACCTTTTTCCCGTTTGACGTCAAGATTCACTCGTGACTTAGTTTTGGTCAACGGTTGCCGATCTTTATCTCCAGCGGATGGCGTCGGCGGTGTTCCCGATGGGCCGGCATTTGATGGACTCTGTCTTCCACTCAATTCCGGGGCTATAAATGAATGCATTATTAATAAGCAAAACATTAATTGATTGTAATATTGCTGTCAAACACTAAACACACATTTTGTCAGTGCTTTCGGTGTTTTCAATACTTCAATCAATGGTTTCTTAACACTTGGTTTTGGGGTCATTGTGTCCGACGGTTCGGTCGATGTCTCATCACGTTTTAGCGCTTCGGTTGTAAATAAATGAATGTATTATTAATATGTGATATATTTGTGGGCAAAACATGTATTTAAACATCAAATACACGACACATACTCGTAAAGCTCTGTAATGTTGTGGCCGATGGGGTGTCCAAAGGGGGTCTCAATTGTTTCGGCACTGTATCAAAAATAATTTCATATAAAAGTGTGTTAAATATTATAGAAATTATCAAATGTTTGGGATTTTACGAATTTGTGGACAATGTTTGCGACCGAAGAACACATATGCATAAAATGATACAACAATTATAATGACACCGACAATAACTATCAAAATGGTATAACCCGTCTTCCAAGTGCTCGCCTTTGGTTGAATCGGAGGGAAACAATCGGCAAGTATTTTAGTGATGTATTCATCGTCTTTGCACTAAATATCAGATAAAATTAACAATTTTTATTTAATAATTCATAGGAAATATGCCTTATTCTCAGTGATAAGCATAGATTTGGTGCAAAAGACTGGCCGTCCGTCTCGTCTGAAGAATACATAGTATCCGCTGATAATCTTTCCTTCTGTAATCTCGACGATACTATCGATAGACTCAACAACCAATGGATCGACGGCTTCGATGACTATTTCATTTCTTCCAAACAATTTTTTACATTCCTTTCTATCGGTCACTAGTTTTTTCTCTTTCGGCGAATAACACGATATGTTTCCCGATTTCTTGTTGTAAATTCCGACCCAATTGTTGTCACTTCTATTCGATGCCCGAAATATGACATCTTTGGGATCGTAATAATTGTCGGGATCAGAGTTGCCATCCGAACAATTGGTCACAATTTTTCCATAGAAAGAAGCCTTTGATATCAATTCAATGTAAATGTTTTAAAATTTGTGACTAAAATAAAATGCATTGTATAATAACCTGAGGTATAACTTCACAATCATAACCCTCTCCACTGAATCTATTCATAATTCCGTTACCAATGGGTGATTTATTGGAAATCATACTAATACCAAATTTATCGATCTTAATCTTCCATTGGTAGCCATTTTTGTACATAAGAGTTGCCTTTTGAACACTGGATGTGAACACTTGTATGCCTTCATACCTGCCATTAGTTTTCATCAATTCACATAAAATGCTATCATTTTGGCAGTGAATGGCATTTAAAAACACAATGAAAACAATAATTGCAATCATTTTCAGTGTAAAAGTGAAGAAATGTTGTCAGAGATTGTAATAACAGTTGGAAAATAGAGAATAAGTTTGTATTCAATTCTAACAATGAATATAACGTAAATTTAAATTCAATGGTTTTATTTCATTTCAAATGTTATTTTACAAAATCAATGCATTAATTAATGCATTCATTCGACAATTGTTGCAAAATTATAGTTAAAAACATAATAAAAATAATGTCTATTAAAGTTGTTTTATTAGTAATAAATTATTATTGACTCTATTATTAACGAAATATGATGTCTTTGGGATCGTATTGATAATTTTTGTCTGTGGTGTTAGTCCTGGTGTTGCCATTGAAACAATTGGTCACAATAGAGGTATTGCTTACGGACTTTAAAAGACTAGATTTGATTATAAATGTGTAATTAATGTTATGATAACTAAAATGCAATCTATAATCACCTGATATTTGACATAACAGTTGTAATAATTGCCACTAAATCTATTGACGATCTGTTTATCATACGAACGATTTAATCCGTTAAAAAACATTCCAAGACTTGTTGTCTCAAACCTAAGCCCCCATTAATTTCCATTGTTATACATAACGTATTCATCCCTAACACTGGGATGCTAACCATACAAATGTCTACTCTTTTATTATATAAATCGCTGTTTTATTGATATTGATTTCACTTATTGCTCATTTCATACAAACATAAAAGTGTCTTAACTTAGACCTGGATGTGAACACTTGTATGCCTTCATATCTGCCATTAGTTTTCATTAATTCACAAAATTCTGTCTCATTTTGACAGTGAATGGCATTTAAAGACACAATGAATACAATAATGGCAATCATTTTCTGTATAAAACTATATGTTAACTATTAGTTAAGTAAATATAAAATTGTGTATACTTTACAAGTGTTTTACCATCATCAATTAATTTTATTATTAATTAAAGTATTATTTTTGTTCGACATTTATTGTAATTAAATGTCAGACAGAAAAGATGCTAACCATACAAATGTCTATTTTTTAATTATATAAATCGCTGATTTATTGATAAAAGATTTTACTTATCGCTCATATAATACAAACATAAGATTGTTTTAACTTACAATTAACTCAGAATTGAATTTATTTGAGTATTTAATCATATAAAATGACATTTTAAAAATGATAAAAACCTATTGCAAAATTAATTTATTTAATGTTGAGATTCGTATAAAACACGGTATTTATATAAAATTAAAAATTAATATTTACAAATTTTTAATTACAAATTGTATTTAAAAAACTAATACAATAATTCAAATGAATTAAAAATATAATTTCTCAAAAAACAATAGAAATCATAAATTGTGACAAAATGTATAGAATATATAGGAATAGAAAATATAATAAATAAAAAACATTCAATTTTTGAGATTTTATTTCTCTTCTATTTTGTGTTTTTTTGGTGAAGTTTTCTTCGAAGTGTTGTCCGGACTCTTAGTCTTTGGATCTTTACATAAAATAAAGCAATGAATGAATTGTTTGTAATAATTATATCAAACACTAAACACATACCTCTTGGCGATGGTATGACAGGAGCATTGCGGTCGGTCTGCAGTGCCATCGGTTGCTTAGCCCGGGTTTGTGCGGCCTT